GGGGCGGGCCACCGGCTGCCGCTTGAGGAGCTGCTGCTGCACACGCTGGTAGGAATCCCAGAGATAGGCCTGATGGAGAGAGGCGGCGGTGAGCATGGCACCGGGGCGGTGAAGGCAGCATCACCCGGCCCAGGGAAGGGAGCCCTGCACTGTGCACCCTCCCAGGGTCTGGATACCACAGCCCGCTCCATGCTGGGGGGCTCAGAGCTGGTTTGCAGGAGCTGGGACACGTCACGCAGCATCTGCTGCTCTCTGCTGGCTCAGCCCCGCAGTGCTGGCAGCCCTGCTGCAAGGCACAGCAACCTGGGGACCATACCCAGCAATCTGGGGACGATACCCAGCTTTGCTGACACCACGGGTGGCTGCAGCTCTTGTCCCTGTCCTAGCAAACTGCTCCAGGCTGAAGGAAGGCACAGACGTGGTGCCTGTGTCCTTACCCACACAGCGCCCCTTTACGGAGGTGGCTCCCAGGGTCTGATCTGGATCTTCCCAGGCTTGGGATGCTACCAGCTTTGCTGGGTTTGTGCAAAGCCTCAAATAGGAGACACCAAGGAATGAATTAAAAATTGCTCCAAATCGCAGGGCAGGGATCTCTGCACGCTGCCTGCACAGGACTAATACTCAAAGCAATTAAGCTACGACTGGAGAGAGGGACAAGGCTGGGAACTCCACCTCTTACAGCCCACTCCTGAGCCTCTATGAAAGCTTCAAACCACCCCAAGGGCTCCATGAAGCTTGAGACAGCCAGAGAAGCCATCGTCCCTTTTCCCCATGGGCTCCTTGTGCCCAGAAGGGAGAGGGCTGCTTCAGGCTGGCAGCCCACACCCCTCCCCAGGGCTCTCCCATCCCTGCCAGCCCTTGGGTACCGGCTGTAGGACAAGCTCCTCTTGCGGCTGCATCATCTTCTGCGTCCTCTCGGGCTCCTTCACGCTGCTCCCCGGCCGTGCGGGCTCCACGTGTGCCCTCGCTGCGTCGCCGCTCTCGGCCCCGGCCTCTGGGAGCGTCCCCTCAGCTTCCATGTCCTCTGAGGAGGGGATCTGCCGCAGACGGGGCTTCTCGCTGGATTTAGCCATGCGCTGTGGTTGGAGAGGTCACAAATGAGCATGGAGAGGTGGCAGGGGACAGGCCAGGCTGAGGAGGTCATGAGGGGTGGCAGGGCACCTCAGGGCAGGAGCATGATGGATGTGGGAGCCAGGGAAGCTGAGCAGGTACCCTCAGCTTGCTGCTACGAGTCTGGGCAAGGCAGCATCTCCCAAGTGCCTCTGCCTTGGCCCTGGACACCTGGTCCAGGCAGGGTTGCCATCTTGCACCCTTCTAGCATCTGTCTCCCATTACCTCCTACACGCCTGGGCTGGGCCTCCGTGACTTACCTTGCCCAGATGCGTCTGTTGCTTGAGTCTCTCCAGGAACTGGGTGTGATGCTGCTGGTACACCAGTTGCTGCTGGATGGCCTTGGGGTTCTGGGGCAGGGGCTCCGAGCGGGTCCTGCCCAGCGGTTTATGGTGGCCTGGGAGCGACAGGCGCTCTGCCGAGATGAGTGAGGGGGTGAAGGAGAAGGGGACGGTTCCCAGACCTGGCACTGCAGGGGAAGACGAAGGAGAGGTGAGGGGTGGCATGGTCTGCTAGGCAGACGTGACACCCTGCAGAGCTGGGCACGGCGAGCAGCAGTGCTGTCTGCACCCATGCAGACTATCTCCAGACAGCCCTAAAAATGACATTGATCCAGTGCTGGAGCCCAGTATCTGGTAGGCCAGGATGGATGGGCTGTGTCTTTATGGCTCCCCTCCTTCTGTCCCCATCGCTTTGGCATCACACAGCCCACAGGGGTCTGGGGACAGGATCTGGCTGACCTCAATCATCTCAGTCCCCCCTCAGCTTCATCCTCAATGGGAGAAGCTTCCTTTGCTGCAGGTATCACAGGGCAGGGGGAGATGGAGCCAGAAACCAGCATGAAGGAGCCAGTTCTCCTTCTGCTACAATTAGAGTGGATTACCTCGAGGGGCTGGGGGGAATAAGGCAGCTAGAGGCAAAGCCAGGACGTCTGAGCTGCCCTGCTCAATGCAGGGCCTGTGGTGAAATGTGCTGGCACAAAACCCTAGGAAGAGGCAGGAAAGACCCCTTGGAGGGGGGCTTCTGGGCTGCAGGAAAGGTGAACGGCTCCAGCCCAGCCCAGCTCGGGCCAGGCAAGGGGCAGCTGGAGGGAAGAGCCACAGCGGCGGCGCTCTCTGCACTGTTGGGGCCATGGTGCATGCAGAACTCTGGTTTCATCCATGGCAAGGACATGCTTGCAGGGGCAACATCCTCCATTCCCTTGGCCCCAGCTCACAGAAGAGTAATGAAAAATCAAGGCCACTAGGCTTTCCCAGCACCCAAAAAACCTGCCCACCCTGAGCAAAGCTCTACGCTGAGCCCTGCCAGCACTGACACAGCCCCAGCGCCTGTCACCAAGCTCAACACTTACCCGCCACCAGCGGAGTGTGGGCGACCGAGGGCTCGAGGATGATGACGGGCTGGAGCCGAGTGGATAAGGGACTCCCAGCCTCGTGCTGCTCCAAGCCAGCTGGTATGAACATGGGCGAGTGCGTGCCCGTGAGGACAGGTCCGTTCAGCACGGGCACCCGGTGTGCCAGGCTGGAGAGCGGGCGGCGATCTGCCTCTCCCTGCAGAGAGGAGGAGGAGTGGGTTAGCCACCCACCAGGACACACACGGCAAGGGGACAGCATATCCTCGCCGTGCTCAGTGCCCACAGGCAGCAGCTGTGGATACTCAGAGCCACTGCATGCCCAGCATTACCCCAGGAACCTCAGGCCCAAAGGAAAGGGCTTCCCCTGCCCCGCGGGGACTCTGCCCAGTTCTAGGGCTACCTACAACCTGGCTACCTACCCTGGCGCTAGTGGTAGCCGGCAATCCCAGCGTGATGGCCGGAAGGGAGGCTGCACTCTGCAGGGCAAACTGGGCCAGTGAGCTCTCCTGCATCATCAGGCGCTGGGCCAGGGGTGTCTGCACCAAACACAATTCATTAGTCTCCTGCTCTGGCAGAGGCAGAGCTCAGTGTGGGACAAGCAGCTTGGGCATGGGCAGCAGAAGAGGGCAGCTGAGCCCCACCTGCCTGGAGGAACACCTCGGGCCAGGGCAAGGGACATTAGGGCCCAGTGGGGAGAGCACATACACTAGGAGACAAGAAATGCACACTGCCAAGGAGGGCAGTGTGTCAGGAGCAGCACTGGGCCAGACAGAAGATCCCACCGTGCAGGGAGAGCAGGGCTAAGGGCAGTTCCTGGGCAGTGGGATCCGGGGCTGGGGTCCCCAGGGGTGGATGCTACCTTTGCCTGAGCCTAGGATGGGAGTGGGAGATCAGGGCACCCAGCCCTGGGGTCAGGAAGCCCCAACCTGCAAGACCTCTGGCTGCGAGGCCGTCGGAGCTCACCTCGTGGGCCATGCCGGAGGCAGCGGGGAGGGCTCCGTGCTCAGCGGGGAGGCTGTCGTTGGGAGAGCTGCAGCCGGACACGGGGGTGCTGCTACTGCTCGGGGAGGAGTCTGCACAAGGAAGAGAAACGGGGGTGATGGGCACAAGCACCCAGAAATGGGCTTCACAGCCCCTGCCCCAGCCCTTCATAGCCCTCCCACCCTCTAACAGCTGCCCACCGCCCTCCGAGGGCCAAACCTCCCTTTGACTGCGTGGCACAGCAGAGACGGAGCTGCCCTGCCCGCATGGGAGGCACCCCGCCACAGTGAGGAAGCCTGACCAGCCACGTTTGCTCAGGGCCTTGAACCCTTTCAGCCTTCTAGGTCCATCCTGGGCCCAAAAAGCAGCAGGGTACAGCTGCAGCAACATCTTTTCCTGGCTCATCTATCCCTGCACCATCATGGCAGAGAGCTCCCTCCATGGGCTGCGCCCCGAGGAGGGCACCCGTAATGTGCCAAGCCCTGAAGACACGACCCTCAAGCAGATGTGGTGTGGGGTCCTGGGCAGACCGTAGCTGCTCCAGCCTGGCCCCAAGGTCCCTCCAGATCCCTGAGGTATCATTGTCCTGGCAAAGCCCTCACCGATCGCCTCGGGCGGCCGCCTCTTCAGGGAGGGGGGAGCACTCTCCTTCCGCGTCAAGGGATTCTTGCGTCGGTCAAGGCACTTCCTGGGCTTGCAACGCACCTTCAGATTGGGCTCAGACGCTGCGAGCAGACAAGGTGGTTAGTCCCGGCCCCACTGCCGACAGGGGCGAGGCTGGACTGGCTTCGTGGGGCCAGGCCACCCTGCTTCTCAGCTCCAGCCATCCCCCGCGCGCAGGCTGTGAGGGCATCACGGCGGGAGGGAGATGGCGTTACCCCCAAGGCCTTACCTGTCTTCCGCAGCGGAAAATGCTCTGGGGGGTCAAGAGAAGTGCTGGGGACAGGGGGCAGGAAGGTGCTGAGCACAGGAGGGGAAGGGCCCTCGGGATCCAGCGGTTCCAGAGACCTATGGGGAGAGGCCACCTTGTCAGAGACCCTTCCCAGTTGGCAGCCACGTGCCAACCACGCTACGCCCTCCAACGCAAGGGTGGCCCAAGGGGTATTTGCCTTTTCTGGGTGTGTGCTAGCTCTGCCAGTGGCCAGAAAGGCTTGTCCTGTCCACTACCACAAGCACCTACAGAAGGGATCCAGCTACTGGTGTTGCCTTGTCTTGGGACAAAAGACAAGAAGCCTGACAGTACTTCTCGGGTCAGGAGTGGGACGAGCCATCAAAGTCCGACAAGGTCAGGGAAAACAATGCAGGAGCTTCATCCACCTCCTGCAAGCACTTAACACAGAACCAAGCTACCTCGCCCAACAGACGTTAGCTAAACAACATCTCTAAAGACCAGAAAGCAGAAGATAATGGCAAGATCTTGCCCAAGATAAACAGCCACCTTTTTCGGGTCCCGAGCAGATGTCCTGCTCGGGGCAGGCCAGAGGATGCCCTTGTTTTACCTGTACGGCATGGCTGAAGGGTTGGGGTTGCTGGTCCTCTCCAAAGCTGCCTGCTGCTTCTTCAGGATGACCTCAGCCAGCTTCTGCTTCACCACTGTGCTGGCCACAGCACCTGCAGAAAGACCAGCAGTGACCACACAGGGCTGAGAGCCAACACAGAGCACTTTAAGGGATCCCTGCAGACATGAGCGTGGCCCCACGGCTCCACAAGTAATGCCAGGATGGCTGGAGACCCCCTACAGGCACAGAGACACTGAGAAAACCCTGTGGAGATGCTTGGTGCAGTTCTCAGGTCAAGGTTGGCTCAGGGAGAGAAGGGCCAGCCGGGGCAGCCGGAGCTGCCCAGAGGGTCAGGGAAGCATCCCCGTCCCACCCTCAGCTCTCCCACATCATGTCAGGAGCCTGATCTTTTTGCGTGCGCCTCGTTGAGCATTGGGAGCGCGGCTGGCGAGAGGCAGAGCATCGCCAGAGGCGAGTCTCAGCTGCAGATCTGTCTGCTTCATCCGATCCAGAGACAGCAGGTATAAGCTGACACCCACAGAATAAAGAGGGCATGAAAGCACAGCGTGGCTCGTACAGCGGTGACAAAACTCCCACGGGTGCATGGGATCCTTCTGAAGCCTCTCCAGAGACACTGTGCCCTGGGGCTCTTTGAGCCTGCGTTACACGCTGATAACTTCCAGCTGATGGTGTACAGCTCAGCCTGTCCGGCACCTCAGCCCCCCACGCAGTCATACTCTGCCCCCCAAAATGGGGACAGCTTGCATGAGAGACAGCAAGAAAAAGAGAGCACCTCCAAACAGTTCAGGGGATAGCTTTGAGGCTCCCGAATCTCCTGAGGGAGCTGCGCTCTTCCAGAAGAGCATGAGACTTACCGCAACCCGCTGGCAAACAAACAGCAGCGACCCACGTTCAACACCTGGCTCCACCGCGGTGGTACAACACCCCCACGCAGAGGTCTGACTGCTGCAGGGTGCTGCAATCGCCAGTCCCCGGCTGCCACGAGCCTCCCGTGTGTTTCTCACCTCGGACTGGGGCCTGTTCCCATGCTCCTACCCATGCCAGGCCATATCCCCATCCATCCGTTCCAGCAGGAACGCTCTGTGGTTACAACGGGGATGCTCCATGCTTCTGTGCCACTATTCAGCACCTCCGAGCACAAGTTACTTAATTAATTTGTATGATTAACTCCCGGATTGCACAAAGGGGCTGTGTGTAGGCTGTCACGCTCAGCCGTGCCGAGCTGACTGCGTTCGCAGGAGCTGTTTGCTCAGGAATGGCAGGGAAAGGGCAGGCGCTGCGTTTTCAGCATTGCAATTAGCCCCATCAACCCTGTGCACCGTGGCGGAGAAGCCTGTGCTCCGCAGCCACGTGGGAGCAAGGGAAAATACCAGCATCCCGACAGAGCTCAGACTGGACAGGCAGGTGGACAGTAGGCTCATGGACACTGGCACGGGCGCAATGCAACCGCTGCATGCTGCAGCTGCATTTTTGGGTTGCGATGCAGAGCTCTGCACATCCAAAAGCTCAGAGCAAGCTCCCTGCGAGCTCCCTGCGGCCACTGGCACTAGATGGCGCAGGGAGATCGCAGCCGGACGGGGCTTGCAAACCTTCCTGCCCAGCGTGGGGGCACCCACTAACCTCTCCCCACTGCCACGGGTGCTCCAGCCTGGGGCTTGGAAGTTCAAGAGGCAAATTCATGCCCTGCCCAGTGCAGTCACAAGCACCGTCAGCTTGGGCAGCACCGCTGCAGCGGCCGTAGGAAGATCTGGAGATCTGTCGTGACCTCCTGGTTGGCATCGCTAGGAAGGATATGAAGGACAAACACCAGCCAGGCCTGGGCCAAAAAAAAAATCTCTTGCCAGCTGCTAAGTGCAACTTGCTGGCATCGCTGCTTGCTGCTCAGAAGGACCGGACTTCCCCGCGGACACCAAGCTGTTCTCTTGGCCCCAGGCAGGCACAGAGCACGGCTCAGTTTGGTGCACAGGACAGAGATGCTCAGCGGCATGGATCTATCACACGCCTTTAGAGCAAGAGAAGGCAGAGCTTGGTCTGGATAAGGGCAGAACCACCTGCTGAGCCCCCTTCTAAAAGCCACTCTGATCTCACTCCCTCTGTGAGCCGAGCCCCCAGTTTCGGGGACACGGCTCCTCGGGCAGGGATGCGGTGCCCGGTGCCACGTGCCAGCAGACACGTGGAGGCTCTTACTTCGCTTGCTCTTGTCCTTGTTGAGGATCTGCCGCAGCTCCTGCTCCTGTTGCCCAGGCTCGGCTTCGCGGTGCGGGGACTCCATGGTCACCTGCAAGGAGAGGGACATCAGCACCAGGAGACCCCAGCCTCGCCCAACGCAGACCGAAGCCCTCCTACCCCCGCCCAAGCCCAAGGCACGAGTACACGGTGATGGAGCATGTCTGAAACGGTCCGTTATGTCAATTTTGGAAGCCCTGGCCGACAAGAACGTGTTAAGTTGTTTCATCACAGCAAACCGGACGCATCTTTGTCTCCAGAGACGCTCTCCCCAGGGACATCATAAAACTCAAACCAGTTTGTTTCAACTTGCTGCCTTTCATGGTGTTTTGACATATCTGTAGCTAGGGCATGTTGTAATACAATAAAAAATAAAAATCAGAGTTGACTAAAAGGGGAAAAAAACCCCAATTATACTAGTCTTAAAAGCTTGGATCTTGGTGTTTTCCAGAGCTGAGGTTTTCAGAGATGATCCCACTTCACAGGGAGGTCAGAAAGCATCACATCTGCACAAATGCCTCTAAGCACCCATCAGTCGTGGCAGCAGCAGCATCTCAAACTCTCCTTGTGTGGACCAAGCTGATGCTCAGCCTCTCCCAGAAAGCCTCAGTGTGATTCCGCCAGGGCTTCCAGACAAGGGTACTGGGACCAGTGAGCCTGAGAGCAGGGCTGGTGCTGAGGGGCAAGGCACATGGGACGTGAGAGAAGTGGATGAGGCTGGGCTTGTTTGGTCCAGAGGAGCGGGGGTACAACTGCCTCTTCCACCACTCAAAGGGGGGTCACGGAGCAGATGGAGCCAGGGTCCTCCGAGGAGCCCAGCAAAAGGATGAGCAGCAACGGGACAGATGTGCCACAAGGGAAATCCCATCTGGATATATGGAACTGATGCCTGCCACGAGCACGGTGCAGCCCTGCGACCGGGACACGCAGGGGGGATCTCTGTGCTTAGAGATGGTCACAGCTCGCCTGGACGTGGTCCTCCGCAACCTGCCCTACCTCTGAAGCTGGCCCTGCTCTCAGCGGGGGCCTCCAGAGGAACCATCCAAGCTCAATCTTGCTGTAATTGTGGGACAATGCAGGGTCTGGCAGCAGAGGCTGTGCAGGGCAGGGGTGCTATTCTGGGTGACACTAGAGAATTTCAGTGAAGACTTCCCAGAAAAGCAAATTAGCTTGTAAAGTGAGTAAACCGTGCCTTTAGGGCAGAGAAACAGTGGTGGCCAAGCGGAGTGGCAGATCACAGACACCAGGCATCCTGTCCAGTCGCTCTGGCTCCTCGCTCAGCACACATGGTATGCAGCTGAAAATATTTCCCTGCTTCGCACATCCCAGGAGGCCCCAGCCCTCCCGCCGGCCTTGGCAGGACGGAGATTTGGCCTGAAAGTAAGACACGAACCCCCCCACCTGACTGCCTAACTGGCCTCCTTGCGTCAGAGAGGTCTCCGGGCTGGCTAAAAAATACTACAGACTCTCCGCCTCAGGGGAAAGAAGGAATTCACCTGGGAAGGTTATTTTGGGGTTGGGATTTCCAGCCTCTTCCTCTTAATCCCTGCCAGAGACGGGAACTCGGACAAAGCCAGCCCCGACACAGGGCACTGCTGGCAGACACACACTGTGCCATGAGCTACGTGCTTTGGGGGCAAAATTAATTCTTTGAAGTGCCCAGTCCTCACCCAGCTGCTACCAAAAGCGGGTGCAGGTCCCCCCCCTGCACCCCGGGGTGCCCGTACCCTCACGTGCTGGTGGGCGAGCTGCTCCACTTGCTGCTGGTGCAGGCTGGCGAGGAAGAGCTGGTGCTGCAGCTGCTGCGTGTGCTTCAGGGCCAGCAAGGTGGTGTCGGAGCCGGGCTTGACGACGCGCTGCCCGATACGCAGGTCCATGGGGGCGGTCTGGGGCACCCGTGGGGAGGTGCACGGGTTCACAGCAGCTGTCGAGACACAAAGCAGGGTACAGCTCAGTCCCTGTCCGGCTCAGACCACCCTGCTAGGTAGGGAAGGCAGCAGATTGGGGCCCGGGTATACTCCAATGCACGGGTGGGCAGGAACACGCCCTGCCATTGAGAAGGGCTTGCTACGCACCATCTACTGCCTGCAAAAGCCTCCTCCATCATCGGGCAAAAAAACCTGTAAATCATACACCCTTGGAGAACCTCCAAGGTGCTGCAGGCATCTCGCCCTGACACCACGGCTGAGAACTGCTTTGCAAACTTAAGGCGCTCCCGCCCTGCCTGGATGCACAGCCTCCCTGCATGGTGAACCCCCCATCCTCCTGGGAACACCTAAAACAGTCCCAATTACACAGAGCGCTGGAGCACCCACTGTGGCAGGGGATTTTCACCAACCAGCTCCTAAAGCCGTGCTTAATTTATCCTGCACGTGCCACGGGCCAGTGCAAAGCAGAGCTGGTCGCTTCCAGCTGTAACAAACAGAAGACGAACCTGCAGAAGAGCCACGCAGCCACGGGATGCCCGCAGCCGCAGTGCTCCTCCTGCATCTCTGCAGCGGGATGCTCCAAACACCACAGCCAGAAGGCAGCGAGCCGGCCAGGCGCGGGCAGAAAGGGGATGAGCAAGCACGACAGCAATTGAAGGACGCACGGACAAGCCCCGTGGCGTCCCACAAACCAAACGCAGCGAGGCAGCCGTGGCCACTGCAGGTTCGTGCTTCGCCACGGGCGTTGCAGCGCAGGGGAAGCTGGAAACAAGCAGGTGGGCAGGAAATTCAGCACGAAGAGACGCTGCAAGGGGGATGCTCTTGCAGGACGCAGGGCCAAGGCCGCTGCAGCCTGAGAGCTAATTGTTTTCCAAAAGCAGTTTCAATTTAAAAAAAAAAAATCAAATGCAAATGTTATTTTATAGACAGAGAACCACACCCTGCGCTGTTCAAACCTCACCCTCAATGGCATCGGGGAGCTTGTGCTGATGACTGCAGCGTTGCAGGAGAAACCTCTGCAGGCTCCTGCCCCGTAACAGCATTTACACAGCTCTTCCAGGGGGAAACCCGGCAAACTCCTGCCCTGGCCCGCGCCTCCCTGCAAGGCAGGGGAGCACGGGAGTGTTCACCCAAGGAGGGTCCAGGGACTGTTAATAACCTCAGGCACACATCCGTGCAGACGACGGGGTGCACGGCCCTGCTGAAATGGGGCCAGCTCTGGCTTTCCCGCGTGGCCCAGGCAGGAAAAACTCCCTCTGGTCCAGGGCAAACACTTCTTGGCACCAGCTCAGTTCTCCAGGACAGAAATGTCCCCAACCTCAGGCCATGTTGGAGAAGGACCTGATGTTCCCAGGAAACCCCACACTGCAGGGTTTATCCCGTTCTCTCTCCACCTCGCTGATAACTGCCTGGGATTTAATTTGTCTCTGGCTAATTGGCTCTAATTACTACACCCTGCCTGCCCCACCGTAACCGGCATGATAGGAAGGTTGAGGAAGATTAACAGCCGCAGCCCAAAAGCTGCCAAGCTCCTCTGCTCCGTTATCACCAAGGCCTCGGGGCTGGACAAGGCGCGATGCCACGAGATGGGCAGGGTGAGCCCCACGGCCCCCTTTGAGGGTCAGGCACAGCAAAAGCAATGAGCACCTTTCAGCTGCATTTTTATGAGTGAACAAGACTCCAAGTGAAGTTACCCTAAGCAAGAAGACCCCAAGCCTTCTCTCCAGGTGCCCTTCAACACCTGCAAGAAGCCAGGGGTCCCGAAAAGGCTGATGTCCTCCGTGGGGCTGGCAATTCACCCCAGCGCTACCCAAGAGGCTGCAGCGCTTGGTCCCGTCTCCTTGCAGCACGGTGCCAGCACCGGCGCCCTGGGAGGCCGTACCTGCCTGCTGCTCCAGAAACCTCCCAGCTTCAGCAATCCCCAAACGGCCTCGGGTCTTGCTAAACACCAGTGATTTTGAAGGATGCAAGTGATAAGCTGGGCTGTCACCTCCTGCTTCTCAGCTCCTGTGTGTTCCCACCTCCCAGTGAGGAGGAGGAGGATGCCAGCGGGACGGGCGCTGGCCAAGCTCCTCGGGGATGCTCGGCAGGAGGAAGGCTGAAGGGAGGCAGCGGCACGGTGTGCGTAGTGCTACCCGACGGGACGCGCTGCTGGCAGCCAGACAAGGACAGACTGTAACAAGCAAATCTCAGGATGGGAAACGGGGACTTCTGACAGCTCCCAGCCAAGCCAAATCCCCGCCACGTGATGCTGTCTATCTGCAGGAACTTGCTGAAGCTCAGCCATCCCTCGGTCCCCTCTGGCCAAATGTCACTGTCCTGCTGTATACCATAAAGGGGCAGGAGCTGGGAAAGGCACTGGGGCTGCCGGGGGACCACAGCCATCGAGACCGGGTTTGAGACACTGAGAAGGGCTGCTTACATGCAGAAGCATCGTTTGGAGCGGAAAGTGGGGGTACGAGGAGGAAGGGGCCAGCCCACCAAACCACAGCCTCCATCCTCGGAGCGGATGGCATCCAGAGAAGAGCTGTCACAGCCTCCCTCTGCTTGCGATCCTAAAACTGCCCATGGGGAGCTCCCACCGGCCAACGCTCAGCAGCAGCAGCCTTGTTCTCACCGCCCCATCAGCAGCATCCTCAGCCCCTCCAGCACCTCCCCGGGGCAAAAAGGGGCGAGAAAGCCTTGAGGGCAACCACAGGCACCTCCGGGGATGGAGGGGGAGACACAGGCAGTGGCACAGAGCCGAGGGGGAAGGCACTGGCGGGGTCTCTGGGAATCTCTCTACCTCATTTGTTTTAGTCTTTTTAAAAACAAACTCCGAAGCAGCGGAAGAGAAGTGGGAGGGAACGCATGTGCTGGGGGAGAGGGAGGACGAACAGGCCAGCGGCCAGCAGCCAGAAAAACAACTCCTCACCGCTCGCCCAGAGCCAGGAAAAAGTCTGTCGAGCATCCCCACGGCCAAAAGGCACCGGAGCCAGGGAGAGCGGCCGGCGGCAGAGGCTGCGCAGACCCTCCTCCCGCCACGGCCCCCAGCTCCGCACGTCGACGGCGCACTGAGCACCCCGCTGCACCGGGCCCTGCTCAGCTGGGGATGGTTAGGCAAAACGGAGCTGTTCAGGAGGTGGGGAGAGAGGGAAGATGGGAGGGAAAAGAGGTACCACAGGAGCACGGACTGGTCTGAAGTGCCTCAGGGAGACACAGGCATCCCAGCCTGTGCAAAGCCCCGACTTACAACTTCGCACCCGGCCAGTGCGGGCTAAAGCCACAAAACTCAGGGCGGTTTTTCAGAGCTCAGAAACGCGACGCTTTACATGCCGAGTGCCAGGGAGGCGAGGGACGAAGACGGGCTGGGGGCAGCGGCCCTGGGAGAGCAGCCCAGCCTCCGGGCAGGAGCCCCGGCCACCGTCCCCACGCTGGGACCCCTCCGGCGCGTGGCAGCTCCCCAGGGATGCCCCGCGTCCCTCCTGCTCCAGCCCAGGCTCCAGCAGCTCTGGACCCCTTCGCAAAGCCCCCCCTGCCCTGGGAGCTGTTTGTTTCAGCCGTGAACTCCCGCTGCAGCTTGAATTCATTTGGGGTTTCATGCCGGGACCTCCGCCAAGAGTTACAGTAAACAACTCCCCTCCCCGGCAGCCTCCGATGCTCACACATGATTCAGGGGGCAGGCAGCCAGGCGAGCAGCTCCTCCTCTTCCCCTCACCCGAAGAAGGCCAAAAGCACGGCCCCATGACAGCTCCTGGGGGGTCTGCCCCTTTCCCCAAGCCAGCCCGGGTCCTGCCGGTTCCTAGTGGACCCTCACAAGCCACCAGCACCACGACCCGTGGCCACGGAGGGGCTGGGACCGGGATGCACGGGCTGAGACCGGGATGCTCCGCTGGCCCCGTGCAGCCTCAGGGGGCCGAATCCATCATCCTTCCCTCCTCAGCCGCGTGGCCAGGAGCAGGACCGAGTGCCGGGACAGGGAGAAGCGAGCTGGGAGCACCCACCCAGGGAAGAGGCGGAAGGTTTCTGGGACAGGCTCCTCTCCCGGCTGGATGTCCGGCTGCCAACATTTTTGTGAATTATTTTTAGTTCGCAAGAACATTCGCACGGGAAGGCCGGCGCTGGTGGCAAGCTCGTCTTCACGCGAGCGCTGGGGCTGGCAGGGGCTCAGCAGCCACCATGTCACCAGCAGCAGCGCAGTGGGACCAGGGCAGCACTCCCAGGGCAAATGGCTTTGCACATGACCCTGCCATTAAAACGCAGCAAAACTCAGCCTCTTTGCAGACATCCCTCTCCTCCCTGCTTCTGCCGAATAAACCATTAATTGCAAAGCTTATCTGCTCAGCCCCAACAACTCAGGATGTATCTGGGGCGTGAAGCAAGGCAGCATCAGCCCCTCTCCTGGACACGGGGTGAAGGTGGCCGCAGGGATCACTTGCTGCCTTGTCCCTGCTTGCACCACGTTGCCCAGCAGTAAAGCAGAAGCACCCAGGCCGTCGCATCGCTGCGGCACCAAGCGATTTGTTTTTCTGGGTCACCTTGCGCAGCCAGGTCACCGGGAGGAAAACATGCCGCTATGCCAGCGCAGCGGGAGAAAGCCGAGGCGAACCGCGCCGCGGTGCCGGCGGGTGGAGGCGACTGCCCAGGGCTGCAGAGCCCATTGCACAAACCGCTCCGCACCTGGGCAGGTAGCAGCTGCTGCAGCTCCACCCTTCCTCCACGGGAAAGGGAGATTGCAACACAGCGAGAGGAGCTTCGGCACAGAGTCTCTCCCCGGCGTGCCCTGGGAAAGCCTTCGGCGGTACGAGCATGAATGCAAGCTCTGTGCTCAACAACCCAGCATGGGTTACCAGCATTTTCCAGGCTGCCGGCATGGCACGGCGCAGGGAAAACAGCCGAAGCGCTCCAAGGGCCCGCGCGCTCACCGGCGAGGTGGGGAGAGCCACGGAGCGAGCCTGCAGACGGCGACGGGCTCCCCGCTTTGCAAACACTCAAGTGCCTCTCGGACTCCTGCTAA